ATGGGAGCTAATCCCTCATAAGTCTTTTTCTATGTATCTGTGTTTATATCCTATTGGTTCTGTTTCTCTAGAAAACCATGAATAAAACAGTAGCATAGATGAGACATTGAGAGGATGATGAGAAAATAAAAGTGTAGAAAGAACAAGGCCCATTAATAAATGCATGATTCTAATATGTTTGAGATTTAATTTGAAATCTGACATTGAAAGAAGGAAGAAGTAGGTCGCTATCTGTGTGGATAGATCCCCCTCAGTTGGGGTATGGATTTCAAATGAACACCATAGGTAAGTCAGCCAAGGGAAGGCACCTCCCTTTCAGAGCAGGGTAAGTCATGTCTATCCTTTTTGTCAATCGGGTCGTGAATGTTGCTGCGAGACGGTTCTCATGGTGGACCCAGACACTTCAGATGTATTAGCCACAAATGTGTCTCTAATATTTGGTGGCCAATAAAAAGAGGAAAACATAACCCATTCTACCATTTATAGCGAAATAAAATACAGAAAAAAAACCATTTCAGAAACAGTATTTAAGTTCTTCAGAGACCTACCAGAAAAAAACTGTCCTTGTAGGTTTCTCAAAGATTAAACATCTAGTGCTTACAGAACTGTTCTGTGTACACACCCTTCTCAGTGCCTTACATCTACTAATTCTTTTAATTTTCAAACAATCCTATGGAGTAAATATCAAAATTGCACCCAATTTGCAAATGAAGAAATAGAGACTAAGAGAGATTAAATTGTTGGCCCAAGATCTTACAGTATAAAAAGGGAGAGAGGATTAGAACTCAGGCTTTGTCAAGTATGTCATCTTAACCACTCTACTAAACTGCCTCTCTCTACATGTTTTCAAAAAATTAAAAATATTAATATAAAAATTTTTTAAAAACTAATCTTTTTGGCCTTCACACATATAAATCTTTCCTGGTACTGAAACAACTCCTGTGATTGCACTTTATAGTTCTCATTCTCGAACATCAGTGCTCCTCTTTCTCTTTCTTGTCACCCGCTGTGCTCCGGCAGAGGAAAGACTCAGACTGTGAGTGGCGGGAGGACTATGAATATGGGCTTCAGAGTTAGGAACTTTCATGTGTGAACCCAAATGCACCCTGGGCACTAGTCACCCTTGACAGGGTGTGCAGTAATCACCTGTGCCTCAGCCTCCTTTTCTGCATGTTGGAAACAGTAGTACTTGATTTGTGGGGTTCTTTGATACAAGGAAGTCATCAGTGTAAAGCCCTCAGAACAATCTTAGCACATTATAAATGTATCCAAAATGCGAGCTGTTATGGAGAGTTTTGTTGTGTTAATCATTTGTAATATATTGACAGTGAAAAATAATGTTTACAGGGAATGAATAATCACTGGAGAAGCAGCATCTACAAGCCTTTTTTTCATTTCTTTTTGATCTTAAGTTTACATCATTTATTAACATGCTAGAAAATCTGTGTCACATGCTCATAAATCTAGAAAGTTCCAGTAAGAAAACTAAAAAGTAAATATGTTCATCCCAGGAAGGTGCAAGCAGTGTGACTAAGCGACTGTAATTTGATGGCCTGGGGTCGGGGTGCTGGTGGGGCCTGCCCAGGAGCACTGGTGTAAATGCTGCCCTTCTCCCCAACCCCCACACCACGCCACCACCCGCCCATCTCGAACCTCAGCCTTCGACAGGCTCAGGTTAAGCCCGAGTAGCATTCACAACATCCACTCCATAATTAACATGTACATAACAAAAGAGCCCCTTGTTTACAGTAATATTTTTATTCAATTTATCTTCACGATCTAAGAAAGTGTTTAATTTGCCTTAATGATATTGGCCACTCCAGACTTTATTACAACATAGGACATAATTACCCTGCTTTAACTTAATTTATAGACCTCATTAACACCCTTGCCTTTCCACTGTGATTAAAAAAACTCCTAAGAATTGAGAACTTTCTAAACAGTAGGAGAATTATTATGATTTATTGTTCACCCTGGCAGTCCTGGGCACAGACTGATTTATTATTGCGGATCTCTACTGAGGTGAGCAGAATTTGGGGAGCAAGGTAGGGGTGCTGGGGGTGCATTTACTCTTCTCAGACTGAGGGTCACAGTTTAATTGGAGCCTGTTGCTTGCTGTGCAAAAGCATGGCGGAATCTAAGGAGGACAAACCCTCTAGCCATAACTAGCTTAGAGAATGTCCTCTTTGCCAAAAGGAAAGTAATTGTATCCACTTATTCGAAATGAAAAGCTAGGGCAAGTCTTAAATATTCCAGCTGGTATTCATTTTTCTCCCTCCTAGAGGGACACCTTCCACTGTGGTCTGAACACTCAAGTTACATGGAGCAGGAGTTGCTTATCTATTCTTTCTCTGACAAAAGATCATATCTCCACATTTGCCCAGGAAAGGTGCTTATTTGCTGCAATATTCTTGTCTAGCAGATCAAAAGTACTGGCGTCACAGTTGCCCTTAAGGTCTTGGAGAAAGAACTGGGACTTTCAGAACTCGTGTTATCATTAGCAATGACCGTTCCTAGCTCACACACAGTGCATGGTGGTACATTATGTCTTATACCCTTTTTACAATAAGTTTAAAATATGAACTTTGATGGTGATGATAGGAGACAGAAGGGTTTTTCAAATGCAAAATAGGAGTTAACTCCTGCCCATACCAGAATATTTTCTAGAGACAGAATTATCTGATAGAGTCCTTTGGATTCACTGAAAGGAACTGTGCATTGAGTTGCATCCATAGAACACTAAAGAGCACGCGACATTACTGCCCAACTCTTTTGAAAGAAGCCACGTGGCTCCAGAGAAGGATCTATCCAAGGACTTAGGGCAAGTCACCCATAAAGTCCATAAAGTGTTTCATATTTTTTCCTTGAACTCATTGTAATCTGGTTAGCTACCACTGCAGGGGAGAAGGGAACTCAATTTGAGATAGAAATTGCTATTGACTTTGTAACTTAAGTAAAGGAGTCGGGAGATATTTAATTATTTAATGAATTTTTATTGTCATATGCCTAAAGTTCAGAGAGAGAGAAGAGAAGAGAAAGGATTCTTGTTCTTGTTATCCCTTCATTTTTATACCAAAGAAAAGCAGTCGTGACTCACTCTGGGTAAAGAGTCAATGGAGCCTGTGCTAACTGAGAACAATCTTGTACTCACCAGGACTAGAGCTTTGTTTTTGACACTCCTAGAAGCTTTGCACTTTGTTTCCAAAGCTCTTTACAAATCATCATAAAAGAGAAATGATCTCAGAAGCACTTAAAGACTTTTCTACACCCAGTTTTCCAATAAATCTCAACCCATCTTTCATTTTGACCAAAGAAATGCAAATTTTCTGACAGGCAAACTACAGCATGACTAAGTCCAAATTGAATACAGTACATTTACTCAAGTGGAAAGGATAATGCAATGAAGCATAATGCAATGGAACATAATGGAACTCACTCAGCTCCAACTTTCAAACCGTGTGTGCTTTACATCATCGGCTTATTGTTTGGCACTGGTTTTGCACATATTATGTGAAAACTATTAAACCAGTTAGAAAGAAAAATAATGTTTACACACTGCAGGAAACTTAATGTACTTTGTTTCCCCTTAAATGCATTTCTTATTTTTTCCTATAACTTTGATTCATAAGAAAGTTAGTTTTGATAGTAGTGAAATGATTCCTAACTAATCAGGGATATAAGTTTTAAATTTTGTTAGGCTGAATCTCATAATAGGTACAGAAATGGAAGTGTGTGGTCTAGTCTCTCCTCAGTGTGCAGGATAATGGTTGCTGGGCAGGCTCTTGCTTGCAGAGAAAGGCAGAATTTCTTTATCTATAGAAGCTGCAGCGATGCTGGTCGTCTGTGTTTCCTGCCAGCCCTATGCAGTGGGGTGGGGCTTGCCGAGCAGCAGTGGCTGCATGTGCAGTGCACACCGGGCCTCCGTGTGGGGCTGGGATTCTGCAGGAGAGCTGAGCGGAAGCACAAGTGGGCATTAGTGAGACAGATGGATGCTACCTGGAGAAGTCAGCCTGATAATACCCAAGAGTCTTAAAACCTGCATCATAAATGATATTTTAAATGAATTCTATTTTATCAAGGCAATACATGCACAATAGCTTAAAACGTTAAGTATTAAACTAAAGGATTAAAGCTAAATGGCTCCCTGCTGCATCACTGTCCCCACCCCCTGTCTTCCTCTCCAAAAGCAACCTCTCTGGCCTCTCTGAGTTATTTATTGATAGTTTCCACAGTGCTAAATACATGAAAAAATTGCTGCCTCTGGAGTCATCAATCTTAGATGCTCTCTAAGGACTCCCTGCTATGGCAGAAGAGGACGCACATCTCTTGCATTGCCAGCCTGTTCTTTTCGTGTTCCTCATTCTCTTATTAGCTTGTTGTTAAAATTGGGGGTTAAAGTTACATTTGGGGCTCATGGTATTATAATTTTCACCATGTCATAATAGGGTCAAATTTACCTATTTTCATTTTGTCCTGAAATGTAGGATTCCTTGTTTGTTTTATTTGCTTTGCTATCTTGTATGTTTACTAAATCTTTTTATGTCTTCTATTATACTCTCAGTGAAATTTTCTAAAAAATGACAAAATTCAGTAAACTGTGATTCCAAATTTTCTTTGTGGTGCTTCCTCCTGAATGCCTTCATTGTCCTTTGTGGTCGAGGTCTGCTGCCCAGTGGTGTGCCTTGCGCTCCTGACCGTCATGCAAGGTTGAACACCTTGTTTCCTGTGTCCCCAGGTTGTCTCCTTTCTGTTTTACTGTGTTGTTTGGGTGGGGCTGTCCCTTCCAGTAGTTTCATCAAGTTCAGAAGATGGTACCAGGACAGAGGTTGTGACAATTCTCAGCTGCCCCTCCGGATGGCCCTGTTGTCCTTTATGCCAGGCACACAGCTTCCTTCTTTGACTCGTTTTCCCTTATCCTCCTGGGTATGCCTTTCCTTATCTCCTTCTTCAAATCTCCCATTGTCCATGCAGCATGCCTTCCTCTTTGCCTGTACATCCCCCCAGTTAGGGCAAGACATCTCCAGCAGCTTTCTGGAAAATGTAAGAAGAGAGGGGAAGTCTTAGAGATTGTCTGAAGACACTGTCTGAAAAGGTGCTTATGGTATACTCACACGTGCCCGAGTTTGTGCACACAAGTAGGAAATCATTTTCTGTCTATATTGGAAGGTGTTGCTCCACTGATGTCCTACTTCCACGGTTGCTGTTAAGAAATCTGATGCATTCTAATCCCTGAGTGTTTTATTTGATCTTTCTCTCTAGAACTTTTAACATCCTCTCTTCATATCCATTATTCTAAAATGTAGCCATGCAATGTCAATGTTTGAACATCAATATTTTCTTAAATTGTGCTAATCCTTGTCAACTTGAAAACTAGTGCTTTAGCAGATTAAGGATGGGCCCTAAGTTCCTTCTCCTCTTCCTCCTCCCTCTTCTTCTTTTGAGTTTCTGGGCAAAAGTTAAAAGAAGCAGAACTGAGAGTCAGTTAGCCTAGGATAATGCTGAAGGTGGCCAGCGGCTTTAGAGCCCCAGGGGTCTCTGTGGACCCCATGCTCCCTTCAGTGTTCCTTGCCTTCCTATCAGACATGCAGAATTATCATATTCCCCCCTTATTTCTTCCTTCTCACATATGAAGCTATGATTTAAGAGTGACATGATTTTTTCCTATAGCTTCCATCATTTTAGTATCCTTTATTTTAATAATAGTAAAAAAGTTATAATTAATGAATTACCTACTATAATTCGGGCTCTGTAGACCTGCTATAATCTTAGGTCACAGCTGCTATTAACTATGAAACTATGCAATCCATATTTTACAAGTATGGAAAAATAAGATAGCTCAGAAAAAAGAAGCTTCACTCAACAAATAAGGGACACATGCAAGGTTTATACCCAGTTCTGATTTCAAGGACTGACCTTTGTTGGCCATCCTTCCTTACTTCCTTTCTTATTTTTTTTAGCAAACTGTCAATTAAAATGTGATTGTGTTCAAATTGTAGAATGAAAACAAGATATGTTACTTATTAGTTTATGAATAATACACATTGTAAAATGTTAACTTGCAAATCTGGTGATATAATCTAGATTCGAGATTACATGGGTAACAAGTTTTCCCTAAGCAAGGGAATGTGATTCAGTGTGCGTCACTGGGCCACCATATACTCATTCACCTGCCTCATGCTTAGTCTCACATAAGCTTCACGTAGTGGTTCTTTATCATCATAGCAAAGTATCTTTAAAGAAATAGATTAAAAGGATAACAGAATGACATTTGTGATCATACTTAAGTATTCTGCCATGGGAACGAGGTTGTTCACCTCTATAGTTTCCCCTATAATCAGCTGCTACAAACAGGAAGACACAAAGCCCTGTGTATGCTGGCATGCAACTGCCCTTCTGTTAATTGAGGAATCTCGCATGGAGATCGAAGTGGGGGCTCTGAAGCACTCTTACAATACTTACCCAAGAATCCTCTTCTTAGCATCTCCTGAAATGAAATCAAGATCCATCAAGACGTTACATTGCAATGTTCAAATATATAAAATAAAACTGGGAACAATAATACTTACTGAGATTATAACTATGAGGATAGGTGTAGAATTAAATTTAAGGCAATGCAAAAATATAAGAAGGGGTTATTCCTTCTTCAGAACCCTAGATTTCGAGACTAAAGAAAAAAAGTTCTATTAGTTTGACATTGAATGTGTGTTCTATGTATAAGGCATTGACAAAATACCAAAGTTTCATTTTATATATAATCTTTGAATGAAAAAAAACTTGGTTATACTTTAATTTTGACTATACTTGTAAGAATTCAAAAATTATAAAATCATTTTTGTGAAAACCTTTTAATAGATAGATAATATATGTACTTATTTACAGGGTACATGTGATATTTTGTTATAGGCATAGAATGTGTAACGATCAAGTCAGGATATTTAGGTTATCCAGAGCTTGGAGCATGTGTGGGGAACGTTTCAAACCCTCCCTGCTAGCAGTTTTGAAATATGTAACACATTGTTGTTAACTATAGCCACCCTACTCTGCTATGGAGCATTGGAGCTTGTTCCATCTGTCTAACTGTACTTTTGTGCCCAGTAACCCACCTATCTGCAGCCCCTCTTCCTGACCCTGGCCTCCTAATGCTTGGCAAGGCACTTTTGGTCCAATGACTCATCTTTTTCTCTCTGGCACAGTGTGAACCGAAGTTTGTTTGGATGTTATGATGCCATTCTATGTATTTCTGAAATAGTTTTCTATTTTTAGTTGTCTTATCCATCTTTGCATACCTTTCTTATATTGTTTAAATCTCTCTTTCTTTTTCAACCAATCAGAATTTGCCTTGGAATGGGTTGACTTGTGCCTTGTTCTGATTCTGATAAAAATAGCAGTAAATATTTAGGAAAACCACAAATTATACCCATTTCTTCCTCTTCAAAATAAAGAATGTATTTGCCTCAGTAATTCTGAATCCTAGATGCATGTTAGACTCACCTGGAAAGCTTTAACGTTTTGTTTTTCTTTTAAATCCAATGCTTATCAATCCCTTTCCTTTAAGTGTGCTTCATTTGAGTCTTGCATGGAACCTAGAAACATGCATTCTTTAGAATCACAAAACTAGCTCAGTTATTTTCAAATTTTAAGGTGCACACACAAAAAATGTAGACCCTATTCAGTCAGTTTGAGATAGAACCTGAGATTCTACAATTTCTAAAATCTTCCAGAAAACACGAATGGTGCAGCTCCTCCAACATCGCTTACATTAGTGAGACTCTAGATACTCTATAAGAGATCCTTCAGGGTCAAAACAAGAAAGAAAGAAAAAGAAAGAAAGAAAGAAAGAAAGAAAGAAAGAAAGAAAGAAAGAAAGAAAGAAAGAAAGAAAGAAAGAAAGAAAGAAAGAAAGGAGGGAGGGAGGGAGGGAGGGAGGGAGGGAGGGAGGGAAAGATGGAGGGAGGAAGAAAACCTATCTTATATAGTTAATATACTTTTATGGTTTCTCAAGTCCTGACATTTTGTCAGAAACATCTATAGAACTAGATGTATACTTTAGTTAATGGGAAAGCTTGTCTTAAATAATATGTAATATTTATATTTTAATTGAAACCCACTAGAAAGAATATTTCTAGTGATCCAAATTTGAAACAGACTAATAGATTTTATATATAAAATCATATATATATATATACACATATATATGTGTGTGTGTATAGATTTATATGAATGATCTATTTATCTATATGAGATTTTCTCGGTCCCTAAAATTCAAGGTGATGATCACATATCCACAGGGCACGCAGGCCCTCTTGTCACCCTCCCTCCTGTCCCAAAGGGGTCTCATGCAGCTGCAGATCACCAGATCACCACAGGTGATTTGATCTTACATCATCTGCACTCACCCTCTGGACCTTCCCATACACATGACTCTTAACCACTCTCCTGACCACTCCTAATGCATTTTCCAAATCTCAGCCAGAGTTATATTTCTAGGTCATAAATGTCCCCACCTCCCTTCTTTAAATGCTTGAATAGTACTTGGTCATCTTCAGGCTCAATTCCAACCCCTGCTCCGGAACTGGGCCACAGGGCCTGCTCGCCTGGCTTCGCTGTTCCAGCCATGGTTGGGCCATGTGCTCTGGGCATGGTCTCCTTCCTGCAGGCCTCCCTGCACACTGGTCCTTCGCGAGGAACTTGGAAGTATCTTCGTTTGCTCACTTCGCTTCCTCAAAAATTTCCCAAAGCTCCTTCCACAATGCCTGGCCAGAGCCTGGCTCTTGTGCCTTCTTAATGCGCCCCGTCAAAGCAGTTGCTGCACTTTGCTGTGCTCAGCTCCTTCACTGTCTGTGCCGCTCTAGGCCTTGGATTCCAAGCCAATAGTGCCTGGCATTTAGTGGCACTACATAACATTTTTCTTTAAATTAAGTGAATGACACAATTTTATGTTTTCCTCCAAACATTCAGTTTGGGATTCAGGAAAAAAATGTATAGAGTGTTAAATAAGTTCTCAGGTTTGAGACATTTTTCACGTGCATTAATATGAATAATTTTCAAATTCAACCTTTTCTCTTCCTGCTCTATTGATCATAGATGTTCCAGGAAGGTGATCTGAATTTTCTGTCTAATGTTTGTCCTTTTATTTATATTTTTCCTACCAAGGAGATTTGTGACACATAAATGACCAGTGTGTGTTTTTTTAAATTTATCCTGGTGGTCAGTGATGAGACAGCTTAAGGCAGGGCTCCTCAAACTGCGGCCTGCGGGCCACATGCGGCCTGCCAAGGACATTTATCCGGCCTACCCGGTGTTTTTGCCACCGTTGCCTGTCCTGCTTAGCAGCCGACTGGTCCCGGGCCCACAGTGCGCATGTGTGGAACCTGTGCCGCACTCTCCAACGGCCCTCCAACGGTCTGACGGACAGTGAACTGGCCCCTTGTTTAAAAAGTTTGAGGACCCCTGGCTTAAGGTAACATAAGTGGATTTGTGGTATTGATGGGATAGCCTTTGAGACTGCAATACTCAGTACAACGTCTATGGGCAGCCTTTAGACAAGAACATGGATTCAGCCTGTCCATCAGGAAATAGACTGTTCTTTTTTTATAGTCTACTTGTAGTAGGATATTTTTTTTTTTTTTTTTTTTTTTGAGACAGAGTCTCGTTTTGTTGTCCAGGCTAGAGTGAGTGCCATGGCGTCAGCCTAGCTCACAGCAACCTCAAACTCCCGGGCTCGAGCGATCCTTCTGCCTCAGCCTCCCGAGTAGCTGGGACTACAGGCATGCGCCACCATGCCTGGCTAATTTTTTATATATATATCAGTTGGCCAATTAATTTCTTTCTATTTATAGTAGAGACGGGGTCTCGCTCTTGCTCAGGCTGGTTTTGAACTCCTGACCTTGAGCAATCCGCCCGCCTCGGCCTCCCAAGAGCTAGGATTACAGGCGTGAGCCACCGCGCCCGGCCTGTAGTAGGATATTTTAGGAAGATTATTTAGCGCTGCAACTCCTTCCATGCTGCCTTTACAAGCCTTGTTACTTCCCTAGCTAGAGGAGTTGGCCACGTGCCAGCTGCTGACTGCTGATGCCAAGCAGAGTGGGTACCACAGCAGGAAGCGGAGCTGACCCACCTGTGAGCAAACCTCAGTTCGTGCAGGACACAAATCTGATTCTATTATTTCACGTGACAATCTAATCATTCTTCATCTTCATCAAAACAAATGCCACAAGGATATCTTTGCTTTAGCTCTGTGAGTTACCATACTGCTTGGAAGCAGAAAAACATATTTCCTTTAAAACATATAAAATCAGACTTTTCACTAATTTGGACTGACTAGACTCCTTATCAGTGCTTGGCATAAGGACTGGATTTTGTTGCAGTAATCCCAAGACATATACTCAAAGACATTCATGATAAAATGAAGTCTAAAAATGAAAAATAAAAAAACTATACCATTGCAGTAATTTCAAATATAAGTAATTCTACTTTGGAAAAGTGAGATGCTATGTTTAAAGCTTTAAAATGCTTCTATTTTCCTTCAGTGTGATCACCTTAAAATAGCCTGATAGCAATACATAATTCACAGTATCATTAAAAATTGAATCATACTTTTACAGCTTTAACATGAAATCAATACAAATCTACCTTTTACAAGACAAATATATCTGAATGGTTATAACAGTCATTGATCTCATATAAAACCTCTCTCTCTCTGTTTCTGTCCCTTTATTTACCCCCCACCAAAAGCTAGGGTGACATTTCTATTCCTGTTGTCTCTAAAGAATTAGAGAAGATCTTTAATGACAAATGAGATGCTTTGACAGATGTATTACAAAGCCTAACGAGCTCTGTTCCATATGTTAGAATCTCCTCCATTCGGGGCACACATTTGCTCCTGGTGGCAGCGTGCTCCAGGACAGCATGCTACTTATGGTCGGAATGTGGAACATCTCTGAGCTTGTCACTCTCTTAATGTGACCACTGAATTCGGCTTTTAGTGTGATCTGTTTTTTATATTAATATCTATATGGAAAAATATTTTTCTATATATTTTGAAAACTGAGAGTTATAGATATTCATTTTGTAATTTTTATTCCTCTCATTTTCCTTTTCTGGATAAATATTATCTTTTTATTGGTCTCTTAAAATAAGCTGCTTTCCTTTTTTAACATATGGGTCTTTTATGTTTTAAAAAAATATTTAATTGACAAATATTTATATTTATTTAAGGTATACAATATAATGATATGACATATATATACATTTTGTAATGATTAACATGATGAAATTAACATATCCATCACTATCTGTACTGTACCTTAGATACCCAGAACTTGTCCATCTTATAAATGAGACTTTGTACCTTTTACCAGTATTTCCCCATTACCTCCTCAGCCCTTAGAAACTACTGTTCTACTTTCTCCTTTCATAAGTTTCAACATTTTAAGATTCCATATATAAGTGACATCATACAATATTTATATTTCTATGTCTGGCATATTTCACTTAGCACAATGTGTTATAGGTTCATTCATGTTGTTATAAATGACAGTATTTCTTTTTATAGTTGAATAATATTCCACTATATCTTCCATTGTCTCTGTTTATATATCTCTCTCTCTCTTTCTCTTTATGTATGTGTCTGTGTGTATATATGTGTTTATATATATGTGCATGTATACATATATATATATATAACTTTTCTTTCTCCATTCCTCTATTGATGGACACTTAGCTTGTTTCCAAAACTTGGCTACTGTGAACAATGATGCAATGAACATGGGGCTTCAGGTATCTCTTCAAGGTACTGATTTCATTTCTTTTGGATATATAGTCAGAAATGGGATTGCTTAATCATATGGTAGTTCTATTTTTACATTTTTGAGGAAATTCCATGTTGTCTTGCATAATGGTTATACCAATTTGCATTACTACCAGCAGTGTACAAGGGTCCTTTTCATCCACAATTATCTTTTTTATATTAATAATAGTCATCCACACTTTGTCTCTTTTGTATTAATAATAGCCATCTTAACAAGTGTGAGGTGATATCTCATTTTGATTAGCATTTTCCTACTGATTAGTGATGTTGGGTACTTTTGAAATACCATGGGTTAGTTGTATATTTTCTTTGGAAAATTGTCTATTAAGGTTTTTTAATTATTTGTCTTTTTGTTATTGAGTTGTGTGAGTTCCTTTAATATTTTTAATGTTAACCATTTACCAGATATATGGTTTGCAAATATTTCCTCCCATTCTTTATGTTGTCTTTTCATTTTGCTCATTTCCTTTGCTGTGTAGAAGCTTTGTAGTTTGATATTACCCCTTTGTTTATTTTCACTTTTCTTTTCTGTGCTTTTTGTGTCATATATATGGGTGTGTGTGTGTGTGTGTGTGTGTGTGTATCTATATATATATATATACACATATATATAGATATATATTTGCAAAAACCAATGGCAAGGAGCTTCTTTCTTATGTGTTTTCCTGAGAGTTTTATAGTTTCTGATCTTACATGTAGATGTTTAATTCATTTCAAGTTACTTTTTGTATATGGATTGATACAAGGGTCCAATTTCATTCTTTGT